GTTCCATCACTGGCCATTCTCTCACCTGCCCCACTCCATCTCCACATTTCCCCACCTATGCCTTCCCCAGCAACTTCAATATGAACACAGCGAACTTCAACCCCTGAGCTTCGGTCCAAACCATGCTCTCTCTATGAAGTATTAACTACCTCACTGCCACAGCTATCCTAATACTTGTCTCTCTCCCCCAAACATCACAACAATGATAAATATGGCTTCAATTTTTCCTCCAAAGTCCATTTCAACATTACTCTTTCCTCTCCTCTCAACACCTACACTAGCTTTAAGGCCCTCCACAACTCCTCTAAGTTAAACACACCCCCTTCACTTTCAGCCCCTCCAAATTAAAATAGAACTCTACGTCTATCCCTGCTCTGCTTCAGGCTGTTCAATGGTTCTTCATAGTCTACTCCTTCAGAAGCTGACCCAGCTCAGCATCTGCAGCTGCTGCCACTCCTCCCACTTGAGAGCATGTGAGCGCACACACACCACCGTAACACCACAGCACTGCCAATGCTTCCCTGTATCTGTCATGTGTTTGGGGACTTGTATAGTGTAATTTGTACCGTGTAATTTGCTTTTTCATTTCAATGTTTGTTCAGCCACATAGAATACATACATTCATCTTCTTGATAACCCTACTGAGGCTTTATTTTGGAACGCCTGCCCTATCTACCCCCAATCAATCATCACTACTTTCCACTCCTTCCTTGTCCCATATCTACTTACTGAGTCTGATACTACATTATAATTCCCATGGGAATATTCTCTAACAGACTGTGAGCTTGTCAGCAGAGAAAAACCATGACCCGGGCCATGGCACACACCTGTATTCTCTGCACTTAGGAGGTTGAGGCAGGACACAGAGATTGAAACAAACCTTGGCTACTGGTGAACCCAGACTCTGTGTGCATGAGCATGTGACCCTTTAATCCTAGCTATTCAGGAAGCTGAGATCTGAGAACTAAGGTTCAATGCAACCAGGGCAGAAAAGTCCATGAGATTTAACACCAATAAACTACCCAAAAAAAGCCAGAAGTGGAGCCATGGGGTAGAGAACCAGCTAAGAGAGAAATACAGAGAGTGCCAGGAAAGGGAGGAGGATGAGAGAGAAGAGAGGGAGAAAAAGGAGGGGGGGAGAGAGAAGAGAGAGAAAGTGAGGACAAGGAGAGAAGGGGAGGGGGGAGAGGGAAGGAGAGGGGAAGAGGAGAGGGAGGAAGGGAGGGGTGGGGAGGGGAAGGGAGGGGAAGTGAGAAAGGAGAGACAAAGGAAAGGTGAGAGAGAGGGAGACAGGGGTGAAGGGGGATATAAGAAAGCAAGAGAGGGCTGGGAAGGTGGCTCAGTAGTAGAACACTTGCCTTGCATGCATGAGGCCCTGGGTTCGATTCCCCAGCACCACATAAGCAAAAAGAAAAAAAGCCGGAAGTGGCACTGTGGCTCAAGTGGTAGTGGTAGCCTTGAGCTGAAGAGCTGAGGGACAGCGCCCAAGCCCAGAGTTCAGGCCCCACGACCAGACCCAAAAACAAAAACAAAAAAAACAAACAAAAAAAGCGAGAGAGTGCTCATAGACAGAGTGCCCATGTCCTGAGCTCAAGCTCAAGATCAGGATGTAGTTCAGTGGTACAGCTTTCACCTCTGATAGCATTGTTTTTCTCTCAATTCTAGTAGTCTGTATATGTGTATCCAGACTTCATATTAAAAAATGCTTTCCCACTTGGAAAAAATTCTATTAAGTGAAGTAAGCCAGGCCCAAAGAAACATAGGTCCCATGGTTTCCCTTATTTGCAATAACTAGTATATGTCTGAGATAAGCAGAAAAGGTCAGATAAGTTGATGTTAGGTGAAATGAACCCCAAGACAAGTATTCAAATGTTTTTTTTTTCTTGTGATTGTTTCTAACATATTTATAAGATGATTTCTTTGTTGCTTTGTATGTCCCTCCCCCACAGTATAACCCCTGCTTTCACCGTATTTGATGTTGGTATAATTTGTGGAAGGGAAGGGCAAAAACAAATCATTTAAATAGGGATACAGGTGGACCCATTGCAACAATGAGATGTACAAGTCGTTATGTCGAAAAACAAACTTTAAAACTTGGGGGAGAGGGATGGGAAGGGACAGGAAGGGGAAACAAAGGAGGAGGCAACAATGCTTGATAAGAACTGTACTCATTACCTTGCCCATGTAATTGTAACCTCTCTGTACAATATTTTCACAATAAAAGAAAAAAGAAAAAAAATGCTTTCCCAACGCAGACAACTCTCATTGGTCCCTAACAGGAACATCAGCCCTAAAATTAAGAGACTCATCTGGATAGAACGCTATCTTGAGCAAAAAAAGCTCAAGGACTATACCCAGGCCCTGCATTCAACCCTAGTACCTACCGGCTCACACATACAGATCTTTGCACTTTGCATTTTTCTCTCAATTTTTCTACCTAAAAATCTAAAATCTTTTTTAAAATATACTTTTATTGTTATTACTAAGGTGTTGTACATAGCTGTTATTTTTTCCTAAGTCAGGAAATGAGTACATTTCTTTTTGGACAATATCACCCGTTAATTCACTTTCACTCAGTTTCCCCCTCCCATACATGCCCACAAATTCCATAGTTTCATTTTCCCCATAATGTCTACTGAGTACTATGCCTACATTTGTTCAACCTTCCTCTTTCCATCCTTCTTCCTCCAAATCTAAAATCACTAAAAGAGAATGGACAGAGATAGAGGATTGTGGTTTGGGCCAGGCTGAGAAAAAGCTGGCAAGACAGCATAGCAACAAAAACATGGGGAGGGAAGAATGATGAAAGGGGTGATAAGGATAGTGATGCACTGTACTTATAAACTGACAAGTTGAAGGGTAACCCTTTTGCAGAATGACTTGAAAGATTATATATATGCCAAACACTGGGCCTGGTGGTACACACCTGACATCCCAGCCACGCAGAGAAATGTAAATAGAATTCTGGTCCAAGCTAGCCCAGGCACAAATGCAAAATCCTAGCTGAAAAACAACAAAAGCAAAGCTAGACTGGACATGTGGCTCAAGTGATAGAATGTCTCTGAAACAAGTACAAAGCTCTGAGTTAAAACTCCAGTGCCACCACAAAAGAAAAAACAAAAATAAACATATATAGATATTCTTCCAAGGGCAAGCTGTTACATTTACAAGGATACCCATATAATACTGATTAAATGATTTATACAATAAAACATTAGGCAGCTATTTTTAAAAAGGTTTATACATACTGATGTGTGTGTGTGTGTGTGTGTGTGTGTGTGTGTGTGTGTAAACATAAGATACAGTATACCATTCTTTTTGAATTTAAAAGATACATGACCTGTAATCCCAGCAGGTAGGGAGGTAGAAACAAGAGGACCATGGATCTGAGCCAGTCCAGGCCAAATTAATGAGACCCTATCTCAAAAACAAATCAAAGAGACAAGGGATACAGCTCAAGTGGTCTAATTCTTTCCTGGCAATCATGAAGCCCTGGGTTCAGTACTGTGGGGCCCGCAGGTAAAGTTAGCATGGACCATATCTGGAAAACAAACAGCACTTGGCCCAGTAAGCTTGAGACCCTGCCCATTTTGATTCTCTGTAGCTTAAGTGCACCATTCAAACTAGCCTTCTCTACCCTTCCCAACCATCCCTTTCTAGATCCATGATCTTCTAGGATGCCAACACAATCTTCACACGGATTCTAACAGACAACATTTTGGGATGGGCCTGGACTGATTTTTCTAGTAGGACTGTCCTGTGCATTATAAGGTAGTTAGCAGCATCCTTAACCTACACCCACTAGATATTAAAACATCTGTCTCCTGTAACTGCTTATGACTAAAATGTGTTTCCAGAACTCAGCCAATGTCCTTGTGAGGCAAAAATCACTCCTGGTTGAGAAGCACTGTTCAATGACAGCAGTTAACCTATAAAACATCCCCGCACCACACTGCTGTAAATTAATAACTGTAATATTCATTTTTACATAGATATGAAGAATACATTTGGCACTGTTTTGAAATGACCTTCATAGGCCAATCAGTTTCTCAAGCAGAGATAATGAAAGTCCCTTTTTCAAATCTGAACTATCATTTTTAATTATATCTGCTCCATCACAAATGGCTCCTTTCTGAATTCGTTAAATAAAAATACAAGTTAACCAGACAAAGCCAGTGACATTCTGCAGTACATGAACTGTGCCAGTGGACTTGCCAATGACACCCTGACCCTTCTAGGCCTCTGTAGCTTATTTAACTGCACATTTCAAGAGACTAGCCTCCACCCCCACCCGCATCCAGCCCTCAAAATCATGTGCCCTCTAGATCCATGATCTAGTACACCAAGAGAAACAACCCACCCTCAGAAATCGAACAGACAATCACATTTTGGCTTAATTTTTGAAAACTAACTGCTGACATATTAAAAACGTAACTACTTAAATTATGCTAATATTTCATCCTATCATTCTTAATGGCCACAGACTGTCAGACACTGTTCTAAAATCATGAAAGGCAACACCCTTGACTTCAAAGAAAATGTAAAGAACAGGGTTAGTTATAAAGCCAAGAGAGGCCTTAACTAGATTCTACAAATCACAATTTTATTAAGTCTAAAGCCACTGCTAACAGCACACAATGAATAAGAAAAAAAGAAATCAAGACATCCAACAGGCTTGAATATTTTTCAAACAGAGATCTAAAACCTTTTTGTGAATTCTCCTGTGTCATTTCTTTTGTCAAAGTGAGAAATCCAGAAAGACCCTGGCCTTCTTGGCTTCATAGTTTGAAGTTACTGATTCCTTCAATGCTGTTGTAGTTGAAACGTTCTGGATTTCATCCTCATCAAATCACGTTCTTCAACTTTTAGGACTGTGCTGACTATTCATGCTTAGCTCTGAGAAGGTTGGCAACCTCCAGTGACCTCACTCTGCAATAAATACACCTGTGAGTTGCTACGAAGATGCTTTAAAGTGTCGGCGGCGGCGAAAAGAAACTCACCATTCTAACTACTTCAGGGTAAGTCTGCTCTGTCAAACAGCCTCTGCTTATTGTAATGTAGTCCACCAGTTCATTAAGAGTGGAGCGCTTGTATTCTTTCATTTTAAGATCAGATAGCGTGTCCATGAAGTCAAAAATGACACAGCACTGCTGAAGTTTCTTTAGGAACAGTTCAGGCTGCTCTGAGGTTGGAACGTCTAAGAAAAAAAAAGGAAATGGTGTAAGTCTGTCATCCATGTCTAGGTAACAGGAATTCTCTGTGAAAGTTACTTCAAAAGTAAGCTCAAAAGAATAAGAATTCACATGACAACAGTGTTCTTAACAGTTACACATGGAGGCGGAAACACACATACCCTCTGCTTCAGAGACCTCGTCTCTCTGAAAACTGTAATGTACCAACACACCAACTGCATTTGCTATTCTGCCACCAAAGACAGACAACCATCCCAATGGCCATTTGAAGATGGAAACAAATTTTAACCAAAAATTTTAACCAATGCCAATACCTTTAAGCCCCATTCCCCGCCCCCCCCAAAAAAAAAACACTGAAAAAGGTCAAATGTTTCCTTATAAGGTGAAGCCAGAAGTTTTCACTGTTGGTTTAAATCAGTTTGGCTAAAAATTTTCATAGCAGAAATGTCAGTCTATTCATTTTAATTTCATGCTGACATCCTTGGTATTTAAAGCAATTGCTGTTTATACTTTTTGTGTTGTTTTGGCTTGATCTCTATGAGGTTTCTCTGCCAAAAAAAAAAAACTTTATAAACGAACAAAATGAAACAAAACCAATGCTCTCAAAAAGAGCAGTGAGAAAATAAGAACAAACTCCTCTTCAATTTACACTCTCTGCTGACCCATCTCCCTCCCTTACAGAAGAAGAAAACCACTAACATCTTTCTTAATAGGTTCTCAGAATAGACATCTGTTCTTTTTCAAACAAACAGTAGGTCGGACATTTGGTTTGGTGTTGTTTCTTAAAAAGTAGATACTTTTGGTTAAAGTTCTCCCACTAGCCAGGCGCCAGTAGCTCATGCCTATAATCCTAGCTACTCAGGAGGCTGAGATCTGAGGATCACAGTTTGAAGCCAGCCTAAGTAGGAAAGTCAGAGACTCTTATCTCCAATTAATCACAGAAAAAGCCAGAGGTGGCACTGTGGCTCAAGTGGTAGAGCACTATTCTTGAGCAAAAAGGAGCTCAGGGCCTTGAGTTCAAAGTACCCAGGCCTTGAGTTCAAGCAGCAAGACCAGCAAAAAAAAAAAAAAACTCTAAAGAAGAACCTGACCTACGGTTGGACTTGCAATCCACTGGCTAAGACACAGACAGCACACTTCCAGTTCTGTCTTCTTCCCACTATTTTATCGGCCCAAACTGGAGTTTCCCAGCAGAGGTAATGAAAATTATGACCAGGGTAGATGCTGTGGGCTTCATCCAAGGCCATTAACTCATTAATCTTCAGGTAAACAAGCGGCATTATTTTCCAGTCTTCAACAAGAAAATTAAGAGATCCCACAATGAATGGGTTACAGAGCTGGGCACAGTGCCTGGGTCTCTAAGCACGCTCAGGACTTTACCAGTGTTCAGCCTGTCATTCACAACCACCCTCAGTGGCCAGCCTCCCAGCTGAGGCTGCACAGTCAGGACACATGCTTCCTAGAAAGGGGAACAGCAGCACATACACACACATACACGTATACACACGTGTACACACGCGTACACCTTATAGCTAAGAGACCCAATAGACAAGGGGATGAAAAGCCAGCCTTGGGCACAAGGGACCTGCATAAAAATTCTCTAAAACCCTCTTCCTTCCTCACACCCCAGGACCTCACAGGTACTTCCTCCGAGCCCCTCCAGGAGAAGAAGCTTAATCCAGTAGATGGGACACTTAAAACAGGATTTTCCACCAGACATTAGGAAACAACAAGTAATTAAGACTGCTATTCTCTGAAAAAAATAGTTGTAAACTTAAGAGATTGTTCACCAGTGGGTTCCAACCCCTCCAATTAATGAAGTCTGATGTAGCTTATGGATGGTAAGTTAAGGCATCACTTTCTGATTCTGTGCTTCTATATTTAACCAGTTTGAAAATATCTGAGCCTAGACCATACCAACTAAATGTATTCAAATATGGCTTTCTCTCCAAGTATGATCTGCTTCATATGTTATAACAAACAAATAAGAAAACCAGCCAGCCAGCCAGGCCTTGGTGGCTCACACCTATAATCCTCACTACTCAGAAGGCTGAGATCCAAGAATCTCAGTCAAAGCCAGCCGGGGTAAAGAAAGTCCATGAGACTCTTATCTCCAACTAACCACCAGAAAACCAGAAGTAGTGCTGTGGCTCAAAGTGATAGAGCACTAGCCTTGTGCTCAGGAACAGTGGCCCCATGAGTTCAAGCCCCACAACTAACCAACATACATACGTAGATAAATCAATTAAATCTGCTTATGTACATGACTACATAGCTTTAATCAATATTTAATTACACGTGAAAGACCCACCCCAGTTAGTTACTGAAATCTTCTGAGCTCTAAATTAGACCCATATCTTGAAGCTCAACAGAAGTTCTGAAACTGCAAAGAGAACAGGATAAAGTGAATTAACGTAACATTTGCTAAAGGTTAAATTTTTAGGAACATTTAAGTTAATTGCATTTTTGATACCTTTAATGAGGCCTAAAACTCTTGCCATTCAATGGAGAACTTCTGAATTAAGAATTACAAAAGCATGTAAATGACAGCCTTTCCACAGGAAAAGCATCAAATAAACAGTAACAGTTAATATGTATGGTCACTGTCATCAAACGCAAGAGATTCATATATTTAACAATTTTTAAAGCCCAAGCAATTAATATATATTGACCCTTTTAATGTTAGGCAGTTGAAATTTATCCTTATTTATTTTAATTGGAATATTATAGACAAAAGACTCCCCACTTGCCAGATGAACGGTAACAGCTGAACATCCCCTGGTCTGGTGTCAGCACTCACACACACTTCATCTCATTCGGTCCTTGCAACGAACAACCCACACCACAGGTACTATTTCCAATTTAATAGATGAGTGTGTAAAGGTACAGATTAGGTAACTTCACCAGAGTCATACAGCTAATAAATAGGGGAGACAGGACTGGATCCTAGGCAGCCTGGCTCCAGAGTCTGTACTACTCAACACTGTGCACCATTCAAACACAAGAAAAGACTAGAGTAACACTATATTCCAGAAAATAAGAGGCAAAAGAGGAAGAAAGCAGGAAGGAACCACAACTCACTCTAACATGCTCCCATTCACAAAGCATCATGCTGAAACTCTCTTTATTACCCCTCCAGTCCACTTACCGGAGATTAACATATAGAGCAAAGCTAAACTTTATGTTTTGTTCCTTATCACAGATTAAAGTTTTCTAAATTGACCTCCCTTCACTAAAAGAAGTCAAGAACAACAGGCCAGGGGACAGGAACTTGCGCATTCCCTTAAACAGACAATTCCTGAATAGTAACAATTAAAAACAAAGATTTTCAGTCATACTGAAAAGGAAACCTATCAAAACAGTCCAAGAGCAGAGTGGTTCACACTTCTAGTTTCAGATACTAAGAAGGCTGGGATGAACAGATCACTTGAGCTCAGGCATATAAGACAGTCAAGGCAACATAACAAGAAAAAATAAAAACTAAAGGCCAGGTGCTACTGAGTCAGGCCTGTTACCCTAGCTACTCAAGAGGCTGAGACCATGATTGTGGTTCAAAACCAGGCCTGTTGCCCTAGTTACTAATTATCCTAGCTACTAATACTATTAATCAGCAAAATACTAATTAATCAAGCAGCAGAATGCAAACATGAGCAAGCAAGGGCCCTCACACCAACACCAAATTAAAAAAAAGGGGGGGAGGGACTGGGGCATGATTCAAGTGGTAGAGTGTCTGCCTAGCAAACACAATGCCTTGAATTCAAACCCCATACTCCCCCCCCCACAAAAAAAGACACTCAGAAATAAACATAAATTAGGAAAACCAGAATCCCCAAGTAAGATCAGATAGTAAGAGATTTGTATCATTATGCTCCCATGGGAACCTCTGACCTACAAAGGCCATCCTGCATTCCTGCCCCCCAGGAGCCCCACAAAAACATAAGCATAAATAATGAGTAACCAATAACTGGTTGTGTAACAGCATGAAGGTCATTAGTTCAGTGACACATCCTTTAGATGTTAGTGCGCATTTACAGGGGAAATGAACCAGGTGTGGTGGTATACCTTTAGTCCTGGCTACCTAACAATGGCAATGTAGGTAAGGGAATCTAGGAGGATCAAGGCTGATGTCCCTGTGCAAACAGTGAGACCCTATCTGAAAAAGAGACTAAAATAAAAAGGACTGTGGACATGGCCCAGCTGGTAAAGACCTACCTAAGGAACACAAGGTAAGGTCCTAAATTCAAACTCCAGTACCTTTAAAAAACAAAAATCAAATAAAGGGGAGATTAATTGACCTAGCTACCATAGCTCGGAAAGATTCCATTGATCTTAAAATTAAAATGATTTCCAGGATATGTTTCTCACCCAAGAAAAGAAAAAGGTGGCCAATTTTTTTTTTTTAGGTAACGATTTTTTTTAATAGTCACAATTTGTTTTCATAAGAATTGATGTGGGGCTGGGAAGGTGGCTCAGTGGTAGAGCGCTTGCCTTGCATGCATGAGGCCCTAGGTTCAATTCCTCAGCACCACATAAGCAAAAAGAAAAAAGCCAGAAGTGGCACTGTGGCTCAAGTGGTAGAGCGCTAGCCTTGAGCTAAAGAGCTGAGGGACAGCGCCCAGGCCCAGAGTTCAGGCCCCACGACCGGACCCAGAAAAAAAAAAGAAGAATGGATGTCTACTAACAATAGGGAAAGAACAGTCTTACAATAAAAGATACTTCCTTTTAAAAGTGAGTTAAAAACACCTTCTCCTTCTGTCATGCAATCTCTCCCTAGATCTTTTCCTGTGTGTGTTGGTGGTTTTGGGGTTTAAACTCAGATCCTTATGCTTTCTAAGCAAATGCTCTTACCACTATCACATTTGCAGCCCTGGGTGTGTGTGTGGGGGGGGGGGGGGGGGGTTGGGGTTTGAACTCAGATCCTGTGTGTGTGTGTGTGTGTGTGTGTGTGTGTGTGTGTGGTTTTGGGGTTTGAACGGTGTGTGTGTGTGTGTGTCAGATCCT